CCATTCCCCATCCCCACCTCTCCCTCCATTCCCCATCCCCACCTCTCCCTCCATTCCCCATCCCCAAACACCCCCGTTTTACAAAAATAACAAACTAGTCCCAGCTGCCAACTCTGAGCAGCCCATAGTTGGGACAACATTAACTGGCGATAGACTGCCCGTCACATCGCCGTGTTAGTTTGGACTGGTGCGGCTATCACCGAGGCTCAACCAAGTCGAGAACGTGGCAGTAAGTGGATTCTTGACCTAACAGTGCCCAGTGATGCAGACAGTACTCTCTCACTAAGCGCACACAGGGCACTAGGTCGCTGATCTCTGAACCCTTAGGTGTACGGTAAGGACAGGCTCAGGCTATATTTAACTTGTTTTGAATTATACAAAAAAATTCAGACCTACAGTGTTAATGACGATTTCTTGAAGTGTTGCGCACGAGCGCCTTTTTACCCAAAAAACTAATTGACATTGATTCCAAATAGCAATAGTCTTTATGTGGCTATAGACGAAGATGCGGAAGTTGGTTTTATGTTAGAGAACAGCGCATGAACCGTATACATACATATATAGATATATGTGTGGCCGAAAATATTTACTGCACAAATATTCTATACATAGCAAATACGTTGTAAAAAAAACCATGCATGATAAAATATACAGTGTGTACAGTACATTTTTTCTTTCGTCAGTGCGCGTTTTTTCATTGCGCCAATTTCACAAAAAGCGCATAAAAATTGGCCTACTTCTACGTACGGAATCTTAGGCGTAAAATGAAGGTTGGCACCCTTGTGGTACACACAGACGAATGCGTGAAAGAGGGTGCGCGAAAGTTATTGGGGCAAAACTTATTGACTCGGAAATCAGAAAATCTGGAAAGTTGAAATTTCAGAATAATGCTCCTCGCCCGCATATAAATTAGTTTTGGCGCCAAAATTAACTTGCAATGCAGTGGACACTTTTGACAGCAAACTTCCCGCGGACATCCACAAGCATTAGCTGGAAAAGGTTGAAAAAGTGTCTGCTAGGTTGCACAAAACGCACGATCGCACCTGGTACCCTGGTGTGCGGCGCTATTTATTTTTTATAGTTCTTGCAGTTGGGATCAAATGTGCAAATATAAATGTTGCTTCAAAATATGCATACAGACATGTTTACATTTGCCGATATTACCAGTCGAGAATAGTGAATTCTGTAGGTTTAACTTGGAGCTCTGAACATTTTTCAGGAACACAGACTAAGTTCCCAGAACTTCATCTCTCTTGGCAAAGGCATGTTTTATTTTTTTTTTAAATTCATGTTAGTGCAGAAAAAATAAAAGCCCAATCCCATAATAGTGCTAAGAAATCCCTTCCTGCACCCTGGGCATGTTATTCGTCCTCAGGGCAGTGATAGAACGAGCGCAGCTCAGTTGCTTTGATTTGTATATGTTTTTGCATTAGTAATGCAGTTAAAACGCACTAATGGTAAGACACGTATGTGTATCTGTTTGTGTGTATGTATTTGCAGACATGGGTGGATAGATCGGTGTGTGTGTATGTGTATGTGTGTGTGCGTGTGCGTGTGTGTGTGCGTTTGTATTTGTTTGTGTGTACTGCCAAATAATTCGGTTTCAGGACTACGAAGACTAGAAAACTGAAGTGCTCGGATCATGGCCTTAGGTCCGTGAGCGAGGCCACACACATTAGAAATCCAGCAGACATATACTGAAATTATGTTATTCGTGAACCAGAGCACACTTTTTTGGAATTATCTATAAGGCGTATCTAAAATACTGCACAAAATATTTCAAATTCTGCCTGGGATATCTCAAACTCTGTATGGGATGCCTAAAATACTGCAAAAAACATCTCTAAAATCCTATAGTGAATATTTAAAATGTCTAAAGTGTTGTGCAGGATAGGGTTGCCACATGTATGAGTATATTACAGGACTGGTAGATCATATTTACTGGTTTAGCCAGTCGGTTCTTTTCACGTTGCTTAAAATCTACCGTCTGAACCCGATTTATCCAGAAAGCTTAAATAAAACGGACTCAGAAGTACTTAAAATTCGTTATGTGTTAAAGCAAAATGTAAAGAATTTTATCATCATTGTGGAATATTACACTGATTAATCACATCAAAATTTAATGAATTCATAAACTCACTTCTTTTACGTTTCAGTTTCACGTCTGGAGAGTAAACACCGTCTTAAATGTTACAGAGTTTCGTGGGAGTCATAACTGCCTAAAATTATAGCTTTACTAGCGCTTAACACGAAACCGAGACATATTTTAAAGCTGAACTTGAATTTTTTACAAATATATAAAAATGCATACACAAAAAAATGTATTTATTCGGCATGCCGTTATGTGCAATCAAAACTCGATTTAAGCATATTAATCCCTGCCTCTTGTCAATGTGAGTTTTTGTAATGGCACAAATATGAAGCACAAAAACTCACAAATCCACAAAAAATCCCACAAAAATATCAAAAAAAAATTCGCGAATTTATAAGAAAAAAAACTTCCAGATTTCGCTCAACTTGTTGGGTGCTGCTGTTATGTGCTGCTTGCCTTGCGCTACAAAAAGTGCTGTTAAAAACACAAATGTAAGTTATTTTATGTGTACCAAAATTTATTTTAAATTAAAGTTGTAGCTTAAGCTCAGCAGTACTGCCTCTCACATTAACGAGATACGTGTTTGGCTAAAAATAACCCCTTTTTTCGGTTGTCAGCTCCATGCAGACGCAACAATAGATACTAAGGCAAGCATTAATGTAGTTTCGGCAAATCCAGAGACCGAAATATTCAGAGAGACGGCTCGCATCAGACCCAAAAAAAGTCCATTTTTTTCGTTTCCAGACTCATCTAACCTGGTCGCCAAGAAATAGGGAAATTCCTCTACTGACGATTAGGTACCACTCGCATAGATTTAGATTTTTTTTTACTTTTATTTTCATAGGCTCAAGTTTGCTGTAATTTACTTCCTTTTGTAATGCCCTGTTACCCCTTCCTTGGCCGTTGTTCCCAGTTCCTGACTCCGAGCTGTTGTCCAGTATCCTCATTCTCCCTCTCCGCCCTGCCTCTAAATTCTTGTCTTCAAAGCAACCCCTCAGTCCTCTTCAAACCTCCACAACTGCTCTCCCCCAACTAACAGTACTCGCCACAAGTCTCCGGCGCCCAAACCAGCATCACACCTCATCTCTCTTTCACCCACCACTCTCCCCTCCTCAAATCTACGTCGCTCAGCATTCCGGAGAAAATGCTCTGGTTGTCCTACCAGTCCCCATTAAACACACAAGTCTGTGTATACTGCGTGACCCAGTCGGGTCTAGCAGTTGCCTATCCCAGCCATCCTCTAACTCTGGAACCCCCACCCAAACCCGCCTTTCCCCCTTTCTACACCTACTCCTCTGTCCCTAAAACAGCTCGTCCCAGCAAGACATTAAGAGTCACCAACACGATTCCCACAACTTGCACGTCAACCGCGACCGAGCCGTGAAATGATTTGGCCATATGCCAATGGTTCGATTTGCCCGGATTTACCCGCCGACGTTTTGCTTTCAATGGG